CGGTGAATGCTCCAACACTGGAAGTTTTTAAGAAGAGACTGGACAGCCATTTGTCCGAAATGGTATAGGGTTTCCTGCCTGAGCAGGGGGTTGGACTAGATGACCTTCAAGGTCCCTTCCAACTTTACTATTATTATTATTATTATTATTATTATTATTATTATTATTATTATTATTATTATTATTATTATTATTGGTTACGTTTTGTTACTGGCTTGCTTGACCCTGCGTTTTCCCCCTCCACGTCTCACTTCTGAGACGGGAATCCAGAACGTCTTTCGAAACATTCTCTGCTTAAGCAAGACTCAATAGGCAAAGATCTGTTGTTGAACAGTTTGTGAGAATTGCAAGACATGTTTTGCTTCTTAATCCCACTCCAGTACAGGTGGAAGACAGCATGTGCTTCCGATCAGTACTGCATCCTTCAAAATGTGTTGCATCTGTATGGTTGCAAAGTTGTTACCTAGATCAGGGCTTTTCAACCTTTTCACCCATTGTACCACTTTTAGGATATGGCAACATCCGAGTACCACCAGTCGCCTAGCAAGGTGTCAAAAACTTGATGACCCCCCCCCCAAAAAAGGGAAAAAAGTGATAAAGTACAGGTAATCCTCGACTTACAACAGTTCACTTAATGACTGTTTGAAGTTACAATGGCACTGGAAAAAGTGCCCCCCAAGCCACAGCTGAGCAAGATACCTGCCTGCCCACCCGGCGGCGCTCTTCCTCCTGTCCGAGGTTTTCATTGTTGTGAGCATTTCTGTTGAGGATTGGCAGCGGGGGTGGTGTGGGGTGGTGTTTGGTTTTTATTCCCCCCATCTGCTGGGTGGTTGCGGCAGGTTTTGGTCACTTCACATGACCCTGGGACACTGTGACAGTGAGCCCTGAAAGGCCCGAAGATCAGCTGGAAAGCGGCACTGATCCTGGCACTTCCGCTGAGCCCTGACAGCCGTGCAGCTCCAGCCATCTCTCGCTCAGGCTTGTGCAGTGCTGCCACCAGTTCAGCTCATTCCCCTCCCCTGCTACCACTTTTCTAGGATGGTCGCGTACCACCTGCCAGGTGCCAATATACCACAGGTGGTACCCGTACCACTGGTTGAAAAGCCCTGACCTAGATTGCCAAGGAAACAACCAAGATTCACAGAGCACCAAGAATCCCACAGTTCAATTCTGAGCACTCCACTTGCCAGGGAACTGATAGCTCACCACTCCGAGAAGATTGCCTGTCCTATTTTAAATTATTAAAAAATTCTCCTAAATATGCTAGTGCTTGATTAATGCAGGAAATGTAACACAGGAATCCAGAACTCCTACAACTTCAAAACAGAATAGTTCTTTTGATTAATATACTTTCAATCATTAGCATAGTAGTAGCCTGAAGCAACCTCTATATAAAGGTGGAAGATGAAAGCTGGAAAAGATGTTTAGGCTGTGTGCAAACAAAAGATTCAGCAAGAAATTCATGGTATTTGAATCCCAATGAATAGTTCTTTTAAGTGACATTTTAGGTTTATCGTATTGTGTAGATGTAAATGGGACTGGGTTTTGGTTCTTTTTAACCCATCTGTTTTGTTATAAAATCTGACTAAAGGGATCCAAGATGGCATATTTATGAAATCTACCTAATATGAATCTGACATTTAAAGAGATAATGCATTCAGAAAACACAAACCTATAAATTGATTGATTTTTTAATTTGAATTAATCTTGTGGACATTCATAATGTTGCAACCATTAAGAAATTAACATGGAGAAAATAGAACATGAAGACGTAAGTACCGTTCAAGCCAACTTCCCCATCCCAGAAAAAAAATAACTTTTCTTTTGCAAAAGATGCTATATTTTACATCTGGGATTACAAGTAAAGTATCCCTACTGACTTATACACTGTTCCCTGCTCACATTATTATTAAATCAGTAATTGATTAAACAGCATGTATGACAAGAACCTTACGACTTATTACAAATTGTTTAAATACAGTTAGTAGATTGTATTTAATAAGGACAAAATAATAAGGAAGAATTAAGACAATCCTCAATTTACGACAATTGAACCCAACATTTCTGTTGCTAAGCAAGACAGCTGTTAAGTGAGTTTTGCCCCATTTTACAACTTCTTGCCAGTTATTAAATGAACCCCTGCAATTGTTAGTAATATGGTTGTTAAGCAAATCTGGCTTCCCCATTGACTTTGTCAGAAGATCTCAAAAGGTGATCACATGACCCTGGGACACTGCAACTGTCATATGTCAGCTGCCAAGCATCTAAATTTTGATTATGTAACCATAGAGATGCTGCAATGGTTATAATGTGAAAAATGGTCATAAGTCACTTTTTTCAGTGCTGTTGTAACTTCTAACGGTCACTAAAAGAACTGTTGTAAATCGAGGACTACCTGTATTTGATTACAAGCTTTCCAGAAGTCTTCAGTAGCTTATTTTAGAATGATGGGCTTCCTCATGAATTAAGCTGTATCAGGGATATATCGGTCCATTAGTCAACATGAAATTCAATTTTGCACAACAATTCAGGATGATTTCATTAATAATTGATTAATGATTCACTTAGCAATTATAACCCACACCGTGAGGTCAATATGACACTGTTGTGGTAAGTAGACATGAGTAACAATTATCAAGACATTTTTTAAAATGCTAGGACTCAGCAAAATTTCTATCCCCTTCTTAATAGAATTTTACTGACCACAATATAAAATAGAATTCAGTCTGCCATTATCACTTAATATACTGCAGTAAGTAGCAACAATATGTTTCTCTCTTTAGTTTGTCAACACAGAGAGAACTTCCACTGGTTAGAGGAACAATCCTGCTTTCCTAATTTCAAAATGTCCATAAGCCCTGGTTGGAAGTGTTGTTTTTTTTTACAGTTCAGTTTTCAAAGGTCTGGGCAGTATTTCATTATAGTTGCTTTTCCGTTTTACTTTATACGTCAAGGCTTTAGAATACTCCTTTAGAAGTTGTTCCCAGTAACAAGAGATATCCTCCATTTGCAAGTGGTCCATGATGAACTGGCGACCCCTAGGGACCAAACAATCAAGCAAAGAAATCAATTGCTTTTCTAATTCAAAACTCAATTTTAAATTCTAATTCAAAAGTCAATACAGTCAATTGTTTTTCTAATTCAAAAGCTTAAATACATATCTGAGCTATAAAAAAGAAAAAAGCTTAGCAAATCATTATGCTTCTTTAGAAAACTATAATAATAAAGTTGGAAGGGACCTTGGAGGTCATCTAGTCCAACCCCCTGCTTAGGCAGAAAACCCTATACCATTTCAGACAAATGGCTGTCCAATCTCTTCTTAAAAACTTCCAATGTTGGAGCATTCACAGCTTCAGGAGGCAGGTTGTTCCACTGATTAATTGTTCAAATTGTCAGGAAATTTCTCCTTAGTTCTAGGTTGCTTCTCTCTGGTTAGTTTCCATCCGTTGCTTCTTGTCCTGCCTTCAGGTGCTTTGGAGAATAGCTTGACTCCCTCTTCTTTGTGGCAACCCCTGAGATATTGGAACACTGCTATCATGTCACCCCTTGCCCTTCTCTTCATTAAACTAGACATACCCAATTCCAGCAACTGTTCCTTAAATGTTTTAGCTTCTAGTCCCCTGATCATCTTTGTTGCTCTTCTCTGTACTCTTTCTAGAGTCTCAACCTTTTTTACATCGTGATGACCAAAACTGGATGTAGTATTCCAAGTGTGGCCTTACCAAGGCATTGTAAAGTGGTATTAACACTTCACGTGATTTTGATTCTATCCTTGTTAATGCAGCCTAGCACTGTGTTGGTTTTTTTTGGCAGCTGCAGCACACTGCTGGCTCATATTTATTGATTGTCCACTAGGACTCCAAGATCTCTCTCACAGTTACTACTATTGAGCAAGGTACCACCTATACTATACCTGTGCATTTGGTTTTTCTTGCCTAAATATATAACCTTACTTTTTTCACCATTGAATTTCATTTTTTTAGATAGCGTCCAACGTTCAAGTGTATCAAGATCCTTCTGTATCTTAAGCCTATCTTCTGGAATATTGGCTATTCCTGCCAGCTTGGTGTCGTCTGCAAATTTGATGAGTTCCCCATCTATCCCCTCATCCAAATCATTGATGAAGATGTTGAAGAGCACTGGGCCCAGAACACAGCCCTGGGGCATAGTAGTAATAGTAGTAGTAATAAGTCATTAAACTGTAATTTAATGACATTCCTAAAATTTGAGTGCTTATTTAAAAATCAAAGCCAGACTTATACATATAACTTGAATTGATGTAGTCTTGGAAGTGCCAGCTGCTGTAAAGAAAACAGAACAAACCTTTTCCAATTGTGGAAGTAAACATTAAATGATGTATAATTATCGGTATTAGAACTAAATATCATTTAAAGGTCTTCCTCCTGCAAGACATAAACACATCCTAGCAATTATTTCTAAATTTATATGCCATATGCAGGTAGTACTTGAGCAACATGTACACATCATTTAGCTCCCCATTGCCATTGTCAACAAAATTCCTCAGGTTGTTAGGCGAGGGCACACCCAAATCCAAGTCATTCTGGACTTGGTCACTCTTAGCCCTGAGTCTCAGTTCTTCCAAAGTAAGAGACTGCCTCTCCTTCAGCTTCCCCTAACTACTATTCCCTACCACCTCTGCCCTTTTTGTCACCCTACACTTTGCTTTACAAGGTGGCAATCATCCCCAGCTTGGCCCAGCAACACAAAGCTGAAACCGCCCATGAAGCCTCTTGTGCAAGGAGCATGCTTCATCAGTAGCAGGAGCAAGAAGACAGTGGATGTCAGCTAGGGTGGCAACGACTGTGGAACACAGGAGGCCAAAAGGATAGACGGGGGAGATAGGCTGGTCCCCTGCACATGTAAGTACAAGCAGACTGCAGAGTACCTGAGTTTTGATCATGTGGTCTTAGGGGCGCTTCAAAGGCCATAACTTTGGGGACTGGTCATAAGTTCCTTTCTTTCTCCTATAACTTTGAGCTGTTACCGAACAAATAGATATTAAGGAAGGACTATCTGTAGACATTTTTCAATGTTTAAACAAATTACTAAATATAATCTTGGGAAAGTCTTATGGACTTCATGATCAAATCTATTTTATACCAAGGAATTCCTATAATTAAGACAAAGCATAGCAGTAATAAGAGCTTACCTCTCGGAAATACTTTGAGCAACATCATCATTTTCTCTTACAAATTCCAATAGCTCCCTGAAACATATATTTGGTATTTTATTATTTTTGGGATACAAATCAGAAAATGTTAGTTTCTTAAGACTCACTTTAGGCAGAATAAATATGACCAATCTCGGCAGGGGAAATCTGTTATGTTTAATTGGTTGAGTTTGGTGTGTGTTTTTTTAACTTGCTATTTATGTGCTTGTTCATTTGTTGGAGCTTTACTTCAACAGAACTCTAAACCTTCCTTCAGCAAAAGCATTACAACACAACAACAGTACAATAAAATACAACATAAAATAAGAATAATGCAATAAATAATTAAATAATGAAATTAAATAAACAAATAATTGTGTTACTAAAAAAAAGAAGGGCATCAAGAATAAAATATCAATCACAATCCATATAGACATTTGGCCTCCTGCATATATATGTGTTTTTTTTTAAATTTTGCCTTTAATTAAAAAAAAAAGAAATATAAATTGTAGAGTACAAAAATAAAGGGGAAAAGGAAGCAAAACAACTATATATGTATATGTGTATATATATTTCTCATGTTTATGAGTAAACATACAAAATCTCATACAACAGTTTCAGTGAAAGATATTTCATTATGATCATCCCTACATAATCTGTGTCTATAAACAACTCATTCATAAGTCACAAGGAATATCATCTCTTCAATCCACTGAGCAATTGGAACCATAAATTTATCATTCCAATGTGAAGGTCAGTCAAGTAGAATTGGGCAGCTATGAAAACCAACAACCAATCAAATAAATGTCTTAGCAGTAATAAGGCAGCAGAAAATTAATTTTGTTGCCTAGCCATCATTTTCCAGCAGTAGGTATTTAATTTAAAAAATATGCATGCATAAAAATATTAAACCTTGTCTTAAATGTTTTATTATTGTATTGTAGAACTTTTCCAGAGTACAACCATTTAAGGGCATGTTTATTCCCAACTGATCTCCAACAAAAATATGATTTACTAATTTCTTTTCTGTCTGAAATATTGATTTTTTAATAACAATTAAGCTTTAGTTTTATTTTTAAAAATTAAATTAACCTAAATATCTAAATTTCATATGGACATTAAGACACTTTTACATTATTTAAACATGGAAATTGCCAATTCCTTATTCCAATCAGTTTTTAAAATATGCCAGACAAAATGATTGATCAGTAAGAAGGTTTATAAAAAATAACTATGGATCTTCTGTCTCATATTATTTTTTGATTACTTCTAATAATTTAGGTGTGTCTGAAGCTGAAAATGCTGATGGTCCAAATCAAGATATCAAAACATCCACCAATATAGGTCATTTTTTGGGGAGATGTACAATATATTGTTCATGATGGCAATTAATCGGGATTTATTTATATATTTTATATATAAACATATATACAAATAAATAAAAACAATATATAAATATTATAATAAATTAAGTTAAAAACAGGAATAAAATAGTTAGGCCAATAATAGGAATTGGCATCTCCATACAACGTCATAAAGTGCAATGTCATGTGACTGCAGCTTAGTACTGGTTCTGGCCATCCTGGGTGCCATTGTTAAGCAAGAACTGTGAAGATGAGATCATTAAGCAAGGACCTCACATGACTGCAACTTTGGACTCCCTGCCAGCTACTCCATTGACTTTGCCTGTGGGAAGCTGGAAGGGAACACTGGAAGTTGTGACTGTGGCTTGCTGAAATGTTGTTATTGTGAGCTGGGTGCTGAGTGCCCAGATCACAATCACGTAATTATGGAGATGTCGCAATGTCTAGAATTCCAAGGACCAGTTGAAACTACCACTTATTCAATGCAGTTTAAGTTTGAACGGTTGCTGAACAAATGCTGGTTAAATGAGGACTACCTTTAACTGGAAATCCCTTTTATAGCAATTAAACTCCCATCTATAAAAATAGATTTCACCTAGACCAGGAGTAGGCAACCTTGGCTCTTTTATGACTCGTGGACTCAGGAATTCTGGGAGTTGAAGTCCACGAGTCATAAAAGAGCCAAGGTTGCCTACCCCTGACCTAGACTCAATCATATAAAAAACAATTTAATCCAGACTAAACCATGCAATGCATTCTGTATGATTCTACCTTTGAAGGCAACCCATGTATTTTAATTAAGCTATCTCTGCCTCATTATGGATGACTTTGTCAGATATGATGCACAATCCTAAATAGTTTTGTAATATTAATATTTTACATAAAAGCTATTAATACACACAAATAATTAAGCCACAGCAGTTTTAACATCTCACCTCACATTAGAAAGATCAGACTGAACTGGAATATAGTGAACCCAAGGTTTCAGTTGTGGATAGAAGAATTCTTGCCAGTCTTCTCCAACATGAAAAATCAAAGAACCACACAGGAAAAGGTGTTTGAAGCGAAAACTAGCTGCTACTCCTCGAAAATTGAAGAGGTATCTTGTATTTAAAGAAAATAAAAGAAAAAAAAACACAAACACCTGCCTTAAAATACGACTCCTCTCCAATAATGAGCATATTTATATTTACATTATAGAAAGGTAAATTTATTTTACTCTTCTACAAAGTGAAAGTTTGGAGTATAATCTTAATGCTATATGATAAAGATATTCCATTCAAATATTGCCACACAGAGGCCAAAATTAGAAGCAGTAAATCCAAAGTTCAGGAGTCTAAATTGTTGCATCTTCTGCACTCTTCTATCTGGGTCTAATCTTTGCTCCTACTGAGTCCATATAAATGAACACACCATAAAACATGTATATTTCAGCTAAATGTTCACTAACATCTTAATAACCACAGTGGAGCTAAAAGAAATGGAGGCTACATTCTGTCAGCACAAGGAAAGGAAACAATCTCCAAATGAAAGAATTCCCAATTTCTATTCTTAGCAATGTTTTCCTCTTTTCAAGAGATGCCAAGTCATTTAAAATACCAGCCTCTCAATAGCATCATTTTATCATGTAAACATGGTAAGTGAAAATTCTTGCTACACAACTCCAGGGGCCTGAGATGACAAAATCCTTTGGTTCTGAATATCACAGCAACTACAGACAACCTAAGGAGTTTAATCATATCAATTACTTATTAATGCCAAATGGCACACAGGAGATACAGAGTTTGAGAGATTCCTGGAATGCATTCCTTGAAATACAGTAACAGCAGTAAACTGGGGATGATGGAAATTCATAGCACAAAATCCAAATACAGAAGTAGAATATTTAGAAAAATTAAGTTTGCCTAATACCAATAGCATTTATATGTTCCTACATAAAAAGAATCAGGACACAACTAATTGTCCAGTTTTCACTATGAAGCTCAAGTTAAGGCAAACAATTAAAATAGCACTAGCAGCTAAGGGTTAATGGATGGGAATCCTGGCCCTCAATGCCAATGTAAACGCTAGGTCTTCTGAATTCAAGGCTAGTATTGACATGTGCCCCATGAATTCCATGACACTTGCTTTCAGATATTTACACTGAACTGACATGCATTAGATACTTATCGAGACAAATACTTACTTGAATTTACAATGGTCTACTAGTGGAACTTCTGTTGCAGGTGGTCTCCCAAGAGTATCCTTTAAAAAAAAGATTTTTTTAAAAAAATGTTTCTAATCACCTTCCTAATAACTATAACAGAAATGCTATACAAAAAGAGGCAGTAATACACATTATTCCTATTTTTTTTTCAATCGAATATATGATTAAAGTTAAAGTTCTCTTACTATAAGCCAGAGAATCTAAAGACTAACTAGCTAAATATTCAGCTCATTAATTTTCTTAGACTGCAGTCATATACAAGTTTTCTTAGAATGTTCATTGATTTTTTTCCTTTCAAATAAACATTTGTTCACACACACAAATGCTGTGCAGTATTTTTATTTCACATATGCAACAAGCTGTGGTTTTCTTTAATCCATTTTCCTGTCTTGCACTGATTAGAACTGCCATATTTAATATAGGTTGCTTATTTATTCAATTTATATGCTAATCCATTTTTGTAGACTCTGAGTCTACATGCCCCAAGTCTTTTCATCATTTTCCATATAAATAACTGCAGCTGTGAACTGTTATTTTCAATACAGAATATTTCAGAATACAGAAATAATTATAAACCCTTAGGTTCTTAAACTATGCAGAATTCCTCTTGACCTAAATATTAGTTCTGATACTGGTCGTCTTTCTTTTATATGATGAGATCCAATACTAACACTTTAGTAGAGTACAGTACAAATTTGCAAATAAAGTGAGAATTTTACTATAGATGCCAAAATGCATCTCCAAAAATAGCTTTGGCTTATTTGCTGATGGGCATCCACAAATATAAATAGCAATAACTTTTTAAAGTACGGTACTCATATTTGCTATATATATTCATGCATAAGCCCATCCATGAATCAGTGGATCGATGAATTTTACTTAAAATTTTTGATTAAAAATACCATAAAAATGTGGTTGATATATTGATGGGCGACACATTTTTCATGGTATTTTAGTTAAAAATGGAAGGTCAGCTTATACGTACATGGGCTTACAGGTGAACATATACAATCCAATCAGCTTCATGGATTAATAGACAAAAATAACAGATGCCAATATATTCAGTCTATGAAATGTATTTTTAGAGACATACATAGTGGAAACTTGGGGCTGGTGAGGAAAAAATGAATACTGTATACAGTATTCATTTTTTCCTCACCAGCCCCAAGCTTCCACTATGTGTGTCTCTAAAAATACATTTCATAGACTTGAAATTGTGAGGCAGGACCACCAAAACCTTACTAGATGTAATGTAATTTTGTGATCTAGGAGATGGAAACACATCCACTGAATGAGATCACGTGGCAGTACTGGAACCTGAAAAGACTTCTGCCCTATATATATTACATTATTTCGTCTACGTAATAGGCACTACTATAGAGATAAAACTCCATGACTATGGAATAAGCATGCTCAGTAAAACACACTAGGAAAACAACATCTGGTTTTTACAAATCAGAAAGATTATTATTGTTATTTAATTTACCCCCTATTGTGCCAAATCAGGCATCCTGATTTGGGAGGAAAATAGACTAAAATTCAATCAGCAAGAGATAAAAAAGAGAAGTGGAATAATCTATTTGACATGATACCATTAGCACCAATATATGCATAAACTGTTTGAATATACTATGCTCATAGCAATCTCTTACAACAATATTTACCCCTTGTCACATAAAACATCTTTAAAAAACTTCCTTTGAGGCTTATTTCTTGAAAGTATGATTTGAAACCAGTCCACAAGCAATTCAGACACACTGGACAGGTCTATGCTGGACTAATGAAATCCAGGTTGGTATGTGGGCTAGCATGATGTAGAAGTATTGGCTAACATTAAAGTTTCAGAGATTTCCAGGGTCATTCCCACATTCCATCATATCAAGCCCCCTGTTCCATAATTGCAATAGCACTTAGACTTATATACTGCTTCAAAGTGCTTTAAAGCCCTCCCTAAGCAGTTTACAGAGTCAGCATATTGTCCCCAACAATTTGGGTCCTCATTTTACCCACCTCGGTAGGATGGATGACTGAGTCAACCTTGAGCTGCTCAGAATCCAACTCCTGGAGTGAGTAGTGAATTAGCCTGTAGTACTGCATTCTAAACAATGCGCCATTACGGCTCTTATAATCACAATAATTGCTCAGCTTAATCAACTGTACAGTGGTTGCTGGAATAATCAAATTGGAAGAGAGTGATACAATTTATTGATTTACTTATTTATTTACTGAAGCTTATATACTACCCTAATCAAAAAGGACTCTGAATAGCTTACATTCACCCTTTGTTTGGGAAAAAAGTATAATATAACAAAGAAACAACTAACAGCAGAAAAAAAATCATTAAAAACATGTACCCTGCTATGCATGTATCAAGAGCTTAATGCTGTATTTAAAGGAGCTTTCACATTTAAATATAAAATCAGTTGTAACCACATATTAAAGTAAGTCTTACAAATCCAGTGGGAGTAGAGTAAAATATAGCTAAAATATACATTTTCTTTCCTTTTAAATAGAAAATTTTGAAATGTACTAACAATTATCAATATTAGAAACTTTATCTCAATTCATAATGGGATTATTTTATCAGAATAATCAGAATAGAATAGAGCTGGAAGGGACCTTGGAGGTCTTCTAGTCCAGCCCCCTGCTCAAGCAAGAGTCCCTATATCATTTCAGACAAGAGGCTGTCCAGTCTCTTCTTAAAAACCTCGAGTGATGAAGCACCCATAACATCTGAAGGGAAGCTGTTTCACTGTCTAATTGTTAAGAGAAAGGAAAAAATAATAGTATTAATACTAACAGTAATAATACTATTTTAATAGTATTCAATAGTATTTACTTTTTCAGATTTCCAAGCTTGGTTCTTAGTGTACTCTGCATCAACAAGATCTGGATTCTCCCGAGAAAGAAGAATGAGGGGATCCCGCTCTGCACTTGTCCTACCACAGAAATTACACAGAACTCTGTTAGATTGGCTTTCTCCAACTTGGCACTTTTCAAATACGGTACATTGATCAATAAATCATATAATTCTAAAGTGAGCAAGTGAAAATTATAACGACCATCCACTGGTTTTCTGGGACTCTGCTTGGAGAGATCAGAATGTCAAAATATCTTTATTTGACTAATATTAGTGTCTTGCACTATTAGTTGGCTCCCAACTCTTGGCAGGTCCTATGCTAACATCCATTTTATTTTTTTATAAAAGTTTTATTAATTTTTTTAAAAATTACAGTTTTTAGTGCTTAGTAAGCAACATGTTGTCTGGGTTCAAATATTTAACATTACCTTCTTCAATATAAATCTGTTCAATACTACACAATCCAGTATTTTTTCCCTGATCCTCCTTTCTTCTCCATATTTTTTCCATTTTCCCCTCATGACACCATTACAATTTTTGCTACTGTTAATGTATACAGAGTTAAATATAAGCATCTTCATCATAGTTTACTAATATCATACAAATAACAATACTATCAATTAAAAAATAAATAATGTCAATTCATTAATCAATATCCTGTTTTTCGTGCTCTTGTTAAGGTTTGATTTCCCATCAGTATTTAAAATATCTTTATCAGTTATGATTTTCTCAATATTAATTACATTTATATAGCTAAAGGTTTTATTCAAATCAATCCTCCTCTTATCTTCATATTTCCCATATCAAACAAAAGAAAAAAATGCTATCTTAATTCTAAATCATATCTTTTATTATAAAAGTCTAATTATATCTTAGGGTCATCCGTTCTTTTAATCTTATTCAAACAAGTATTTAAATATATAATGCCCCCTCTAAAAGGTCAAATCTTCTGTTTTTTAAATCTGACTCTCGCTTTCTTTCTTTGCCAAGTAGCTTTCCAAGCCAGGGCAATTAGATCGCCCAGGATTTTTCTATTTTTGTAAAAATTGCTTGGCATGAGGAAGACAATTTAAATTTAGGTAGGGTATTTGGGGGGGGGGGGAAATTCCGCCCATTTATATTCCTAACAACTCCCAGTTACTTTCTCTCTCCATTTCTCTTTTCATTCCCTGTATCCAAAGTTGTGAGATTTCCCCTAACAACTCTATATTCCATTTTTTAAAATCTTCTCCCTTGCCATCAGATATATTTTGCAGACCTAAGGGGTAAAAGGTCTTTTGCATTTTCATTGTTATAGCTAAGTCTTGCAGTATTTTGTTTGTATTTAGTTGTTTATATTTCCCTTCTTTTATCTCTTTATCTCTAAATTCATTTCCTCTGTTTCGTCTTCTGATTTTTGGATTATTTGTTGATACTTTGTAGTCGTTATCTGGGAACTTTCTAGCTGTAGATTTAATTTGTAGATTTGCTCGTTTATATTGTCTATATTGTTTTTAGTCTCATTATGATTTCTTTTTATGTCCTCTTTGCATTTGACCATTGTTTGGTAAATTAGTTGTAGCATATATCTCTTTCTGAAAGGTGTTGTTTTTTCTTGAGGCATCATTCCTGGAGATCCTCTAGTATCACCAGTCTCAGTAAGAGTAGATCAAAGTTTCTTCTAGTTTTCTGGTCTTTATATGTATCCTTTATAATCCAATAGATTCCAAAGTATAGGTTCAGTCCTCAAAGCAATATTTTATAGTAATCCTTTGTCTCAAGTATCCAAAACTTGTCAATCGGGCAAGGTTGTAATCCACAATGCTCGAAGTGTTCAAAATGTTCAACTTCTCTGAAAATAGCTCAAAAGTCTCTCCCAGCCAGGCTTAGTCCAAGGTCAAATTTTTCTTTGTCTCCCACTAGCTCTTAAAGTTAAAAGTCCAAGCTCAGTAGGTATTTATAATCCAAGAAGGTCAGGATGATAAGTATGCCAAAATATTTTACTTTATTGCCAGCTGTTCTCCCGAGCTAGGAATCACCAAGCAGCCAGGAAGCAAATTATAGTGCTAAAACACCACTAGATGTCATTCAAAGTCCATTTTCCACTCTTAAAACAAAGGATTGATTTCTTATGTTTCATCTCAATGTTTTTTTTAAAGAGAAAATCTTAACAGTTATCTCAGTTCTCAAATTTATCAAAACTGTAGCTTTATATTACTTCCACTTCAGTATTGTATGTTTCTGTCCCCCATAAAATTAAAACACCGCTTCAGTTTACATTTGGAGTTTTTTAGCTTGAGAGCCTTTCCCAGGAAATTCAGTTGTAAAATTGTAAAAAAAGGATCAATATTCTCACCCAATTCCAAACATGCTGGTACGATGTATTAATTAGTGCTTTTTTCTTCTTTGGTTGTCATCAGCTAATGTCTGGCAACAGGAAAGTAGCCGGTCTTTTCCCTGCCGGTTTGGAGGGCTTTCCTTGGATGGAATAGAAAGACACCCGTCTCTCCGTGATCAACAAGCCACCCCTCTTCTTCATTGCCTCTTTGTGGAGATTTTAGGGCCCCCAGCAGGGCAAAATCGGGTGCGGAAGGCAGAGCCTTGCCTTCCTGCGTCCCGTCCCACCGGGACGCAAACCGGAAGTCATCACACCTGTTTTATTTTAATTACAGATGCTCAATGGCATCACAGGGCATATTACAAAAATATGTATGGTTGCAGTGTTTGGTTTGCTCTTTTAATATCTGTTTACTGGCTTGACTTCTAAATTGTAAGTCAATTCTACTGGATGGAATTTTGTTATATTGTATTTTTCTCTCATGACCTAATAATACAAATAAATAAATATGATTGCTTCTACTACTATTTCTACTGCTCCCCCCCCCCTTTTTTTTTTTTAAAAGTAGCATTTGCTAAGTAACAAAATGTATAAAGCAACATGAGAACATTTTACAGTTCTCTGGAATCTGGAGAAAATTCTGGTGCATTTCAATGGCTACTTCTAAAACAAAATATCACCCACTATTTCTAAAACAAAATGATATCACCCACACACAGCATTCAACATAGTAACCTAAATACTGAGTTAATAACACATAGCAGGCCTTGGCTGCTTTTAGAAAAAGTTAAGTAGATCTGGTTACTATTTGGATTAGAAACACTAATAATTTCCAGAGTTATTAAACTAGGCATCATAGTATTATGTAGTAAAAGCATTCCTGAACATAGCAGTAGTAAAGCACCGATGCCAAAAACATACCAGTAATAGAGATAAGTCCACGTACTCCCCAGGAGCTGATATCAACTCAAGGAAAACATTACCTTTAAATGCATATATTTCAATTGGACCAATTCAATTTCCCTGAGCAAAGCAGTACAGTAGAATAATTATTTATAAGATTAGGACTATCAAAGTATCAAAGCACTTGAAAGAGAAAAAAAATGCTCACCGGGATCCTCGAAAATAGGCTTTGGATTTTTTTTTCTTCCAGGGCCATTTTTCTGCTGAGCTAAGAATATTTTGATAAGTACACAGAATTAAAATACTGACATACTATTTTTTATTCATTTACTTGATTCTCTTGATCTAGTTGCAGGACTTCTGTGGTGAACAAATCATACTTTAGGTTATATTTATGCAGAAATATTGAAAAATAAAAAGGGATCACAAACTTTTAAGCACTGTTGTAACTCTTGATATTGCTTTTCTGTTTACTTACAGCTCATTTTCTGTTTACTTACAGCTCATCACTAAATAGAATGGCAAAAAGAGAAAGAAAGTGGAGGTTGCTGCATTCGGTCCCAGAATCCAATTTCCAGCATCATCTACCAAGGAAATGCATCCACCAAAGAAAAACAGATCTTCATCTTAAAATCTCTGCATCTGAATTTCCTACTGACTTTCTAAAGTTTTCTTTCCTCTCCCCATGGGCTAACCTCTGCATGGATTTCTCTCAATCTGAAGCACAATTATATCCCCTTAGATGAACTTGACCAACATGCATTTCTTCAGTCTGTAACTAAATGCCTGCAGCTTTCATTTAACAAAGTATAAATTACTGCTCAATGAAATTTCTTCAGAATGAGGAACTGGTGCACATGGCCCTATTAAATGCAAATTTGGATTCTCTTTTATTTAAAAAAAATACAACAAAATTATTCTCTCCTCAGATTACCTTCGGAGGCTTTCTCTCATTAGGTCCCAACGCCCAAGGCCTGTAGGATATATTGGCCAAACAGCTGGCCCCCCTTCCCAAAATGTCCAGGCAGGGTACATAATATCATAGTATTCTGAAGTCTTTGAGAGAAAAAGGAGAGCAAAGCATGTTAGTTCTAGCAAAATGTTTCATTCATACAAGAGATTCAATAAAACATGGTATTTGTCCTGTCTAACGTGACTGATGGATAATAGCTCTCTGTTCACTCACCTTGCTAAAAGATAAAACAGGCACTCTTGGTTTCATAAATTTGGGCACCTGGGGGTAGTCCCTCACATTGATGACCATCTCCATATCAGGAAGGTTCTGAATAATTTCTAAGATGAAGTGCTCAACTCCACTACATCTGTAGGCAATCAAATATCAAAAGGGTATCTATGAGTAGAGTAGACTAGCTGTGTTTACTCATTATATTAAGCCAGGGATTATTTCAACCACAGTTTTTTTTAAAAAAGACTAAGTCTGCATCACAGATGACCAAAGCAAGCAAAGGAGATCACTTGAGCAATTGTTTTTTTTCCTTTCCTTTTTTAAAATGTTCTTTCTGAAAGAGGTTTGGACAGAGCCCAGAATAAACCAGGAAGCCCCTAGACCAGAGCAAGAATGTAACATGATTAAATTTCTCAGACAAATCTCTCCCTTGTTCACACAAGGATAAAGAGGACCGGGAGGGAGGGAGGAGAATCATCAGTCTATTATTATAGCTTTACAATAAAGATAGTATTGACCTATAAGGCATTGGTTTCTTAGTCTGATCTACCATGAGGGGCTGACACTATGTCAACAAAGTAGAGTTCCAGTATTTCTGGTGGTGCTGTCTCCTGATCTGATCTATCCCCAAGGCTTGACAGAGGTAAACAAATGGTGGTCAATTTATTCATGCTGTTTTTATGTCATTTTAATTAGCATGAATCTAAGCACATTAGATTACGTTTTTATTTTATTTTTGTTGAATAGTAGTTAACAAGCATTTACTCAATAACATCCATAATGCTTGGGAAAAACGAAAAAATGTTTTTCAAAAGGAGATAAATTTATCACATTTATTTAAAATGTGTATACTTAAAAATACCTTTTTTGAACATTCTCTTCAGAATTTGGAACAGTGCCCATGTATATAGTGCACATACTAATCTAACCAGTGTCAAATATCACTAATATAAGTTCTTCCACTGAAGCTCCTGTGTAAAAACTGAAGTAAATCTATCTGATTTTCATGCCTCCCATTTCTTTTCCTTTACAGCTTTACTAAAATCACTATTTTAAGCTTCTTTTAGAGCCAAAGTGTATATTTCTTAATTGCAATAGGTTATAAATTTTTGACCTTTGGTTGTTCTAAATAGGTTCTAAACAACCTTTGGTTGTTCTAAATAGTTAACTCTTGTATTTTCAAAAGTGCTATAAGGGTGAATTGCTAAAATTCTAATCTTATTAGCAAATAATGGTTAAAGCGGTTATTAGAAAAATTGCTGATTGCTGCTCTATTTGTTCTTTATGTAGAGGTTCCATGTTATTATACAAATATTTATTCTTTAAAGATTACTGCTCATATTTTTTTTCATAACATATTAAACGTACCATCATTCATCTAACATAGGGGCCCAAACTCCCAGGCCACAGCCCAATATCGGGTTAAGGCTTTTTGGGAACAGGGCCGTGCAAGCAGTGGGCGAGCATGTGAAGTTCCATTTACACAAGTGGCGGGTGCATGCAAAACTATCCCCTCTCCCCCCTCCCACTACCACTACTATCCACAGAACTAGAAAGGTTGGGGGCCACTGATCTAAAAAACATAACCCACTCAATTTGCAGTCCTAAATAATCTTTCAAAGAGTCAAGATTTTCACATTTTGTTAAATATCAAAAGAGGTACAGACCTCCTATCCTATGGTAGGATGTTTCGTAAGAGGCAAAGTGATTAATCAAAAGTAGGATGAAGCCAAAGTGGTTAAAATAAAATGTTAAAATGGACTGAATAACCAGACTGAGATTAGGATAAAAATTACACTATTCCAGTGATAGGAATAGGATGGAATCATTGCAAAGAGATCAGAACCTGGCCTGAGCAGAAAAAACAATAGGGAAGCATCACACCATTAACTGATAGTATAAAGCAGGGGTAGTCAACCTTGGCTCTTTTATGACTCATGGACTTCAACTCCCAGAATTCCTGAGCCAGCTAAGCTGAGGAATTCTGGGAATTGAAGTCCACGAGTCATAAAAGAGCCAAGGTTGACTACCCCTGGTATAAAGAGTGCTTTTTGTTTTACTCCCATCATAGAGCACATAAAATAAAGTCACAGGCCTGTCTGACAATTGAACAACTATAACTAGTAATACTTTACAATTATCCTTTTCCCTCAGAAGTATTTATTCCTGATTTCTTTTAGCGTTTAACCCATATCATCTCCTTGCACAACTAAAGGGCAGTGTCAATATTGATTTCTCACAAAAGCAAATCCAATTTCTACATTTCAAGCAAGGCAATACGAAATTGGTTAGTTCCCTTACATTAGAGTTCAGCCCTTTTGAACACTTTCTGCTCAATGACCCATAAATTAATGGGGCAGGCAGATTTTCTGTTTATCTCTCTTTCTCTTTTTGTGTATGTGATTGACAGATTTTATATCTCACCTTGCAGGGAACATGCAATCATGCTCCCGGTACAACTTCTTCTCAATGATCTGGTAGTGTGTCCCAAGCTTTCGACTGATTGCTTCTGACAGCAACACCTCAGAGATTCCATTTTGAAAAGGAGCCAAGTCTTGTTCCCTAACTCTAAAGTGAGAGAGAGATTGTTAAACATTGCTAAACATACTTGAGGTTAGTGTAACAACAGTTAACAAGAAGGTTAGGAATATAGTTTTGCTTGGTGAAGATTCAGTGCAGATTTGAAACCAGCCCTACTAGTGGGCAAGATGAAGTAGCAAATGAGGCAGAGAAGGCTCAATGGTACCTTCAGCTAAATGCTAGTATAAACAAATACAGAGCAGTATGTCATCATGTCTCCACAGTGAACCACCATCATGCTTTTGCTGGGAAATTCTTTTTTTAAACTTTAGGTTTTGTAACTGGTGGCACCTCCTTCAGTAGCAATGACTTCAACCAAATTTTTTCTACACCTGTTCATTATTCTTACACATTAGACCAGCCTTACTTTAGCCCAGAGGTCCCCAACCCCCAACCCCCGGTCCGTGGACCAGTACCAGGCCGCGGCATGCCAGCAACCGGTCCGCACAAAGAAGCAAAGCCCCGTTCGCGGGATGCAGGCAGCACACAAAACCACGCCCCTTCCGTCCGTGGAAAAACCTCTCTCCACAGAACTGGTCCCTGGTGCTCAAAAGGTTGGGGACCTCTGCTTTAGCCCATTCCTATTCATGAAACTGCTTAAACTCATTAATATTTGGGGAAGGCATTCCACAGCTGCATATTTCAAATCATGCCAAAATATCTTTTTTTTTTCAAATATAAATTTTTTATTATTTTCATCATAAAAAAAAAGCACATCACAAATACATCACATTGAAAAACCCTACCCCCCACCCCCGGACTTCCCAAACCTAATCCCAGGATACTATTCAACTAAAAGTAAACTAATATTAATATCCCTAACTCCACAAAATATTATTCTACATAAGTAGGTGAAATATATATTAAAAAAAAGAAATTTTTTTTATCTAAAAACCTAAATTATATTCCACCATTCTATGCTTATTTTGAATATAAACAATCCATCTTCTCCATATTGATAAAAATTGTTCATTTGAATGATCCTTCAGATAAGCCGAAATTTTTGCCATTTCAGCAAGATGCGAAACCTTCACTCTCCAGTCCTCCATTGTAGGTAGGACTTTATTCTTCCAATTTTGAGCTATCAACAAACGGGCAGCAGTTAAACAATACAACATCAAGTTCGTTTCTTTTACATCCAAATTTTGTGTAATACCTAGGAGAAACAACTGAGGCAAGAAAAAAATTCTTCTTTTAAAAACTTGCTGTAAATTCCACCATAGTTTTATCCAGAAGGCCTTAATAACCTTACAAGTCCACCACATGTGAAAAAAAGTTGCATCTTGTTGTCCACACCTCCAGCACTTGGATTCATAATTCTCATAAATGCGAGACATAGTTGCAGGATCCATGTGCCATCTATAAAACATCTTATAAAAATTCTCACGTAGATTTTGTGCTTGCGTAAAT